AACTTAAATTTAATATTTATATATTGATATACAGAATAGATATTAAGTACAGGATAGATGAAGTTGGGTTAATTTAGTGTTTATAATTTTTGTTCCACCTTGTATTTATATATAAAAATGCAATAATATAACATAAATAAAGGTTGTCTATTTATAAACTGTATAAGAATTAATAAAGTGATTTTACAAAATTCCAAAATGCTATATTTTATAATTATTATGACATTATTATCTATAAAAATATGACAATATATTTTTGCATAATCTCTTTGATGTTAATTCCATAAAAATACTTTTTAAAATTAAGTTTAAAAATACAATTAAATAAATAAATAAAAAACAGTTTCCTTAGAAGAGAATAGAAATATTTAAAAAACATATTATATTCTTTAAGTGGGAGAAAAACAATATTTAAATTGACGTCTGTCTGTCACGCTGAAGTTCTAAAGAGGTATTTAGCGTTACGTAATACTATTATAATGTTCTTTGTTATTAGCTTGGATTATATAGGCAGTATCAGCTAAACTATTTTAAGATGATCCTGCCGTTTTGAAAGAAAATAATGTCATTTTATGATTAAAATGTATTGAAGTGGCGCGACGACGCAACGCGACGCCGCGTTGCATGAAAAATAATTAACAGTTAATAATCATTTTTATTTATTACAAGAAAATTATATTTTAGTTGTTTATAAGAGCAAAAGAAATTTTATATTCCATAATATTTCAAAAGTGTTACTGTACAAATTCTTTAAATTTCTTTTAAATATATAGGTACTGTACAAACGGCGCAAGCGATAAGAAGCAATTACTGAAAAGTAGAATTGTTTAAATATTTTTTTAATATATTTTAAAAATTTTATTATTAATAACTTTATTTGAATCAATTTATTAACAATTATTTTCGATTTTTATTTTCTATTTAAATACTATTAACTATAATTCTGCCGAATTATTCGTAAAGACAAAAGAGCGCGCGACGATACGCGCCGACGCGACGCGACTCACTTTACAAACATATTTCATATGCTAAAACTTGGAAAAACACAAGTAAATAATGGAAGATTTATATTTATACAATTTCGTAACGTCTACTTAAAGAATGAATATATTTTCTAAACATATTACCTCCCAAATTTAAATAACTTTCTCAAATTCGAACACAAATACAATGAATAAAGCCAGGATTAATATATACTAACCTATTTTTTATTGTTTTAAGATAAATCTTAGAAAATTAAACAATGAAATAACCATTAAAACAATATAAAAAAGTAAAAAAAAATTATATTGAAAGAGGAGAATCAATGAAGCGCGAAGAGATTTATTCAATGACTCAACAAACCTTTGTGAATGATAAAAACTGTCTGCTTATCTTCTGCATTGGCGCACTGTTCCACCTCTCCGCCATTGCAACAGAATTAATAAAATTTAACTGCTGACAAACGGCGTATTTTACCATTTATTACAAACACGTGTGAAGCTGTAGGTCATACACACATTCACTACACAAGTCCTATATACATTGATGTAGAAACTTAAATATGAATAACACTACCGAAACGGTAAGTTATTTACAGCCTTTTTAAATTACTTTTTAAGTTTTTATTAATCTATATAGGCCTATATATATAAATTAATGTATAATTGATTTAATATATAGTTAATACATGTAAAATTATTGTATTATAATAAGTACATGACAGTATAATTAAATGAATACCATCTTGATAACTTCAGTTTTGAACCTTGAGCAAATGATTATATATTATGATAGAGTATACATAGGAATTTATAGCTTTTATTTTCTTTATAAACCTGTCTATACTGTAATTATACATCTTATATAAATATAATTATACTTTTTTAAGAACAAGAGTAGTACAATAGCACCATTAATATAATACTATTAGGTGTTATATTACTATTTTTACAACATAACAATTATATATTACAATTAGAGAGGATTTTTCTTATCATAGTAAATATAATTATCAATCTGTTGTGTCCGACTTATCATTATCTTTGTATTAATTCTATAACCTATAACAACCTAATGTTATTCAAGCTTTAAGTAGGTTATTGAGAAATAATGTTTATTTTAATTAATTATATATATATATATATATTTTGCCCTGCATTTCCTGGATCCAGAAATGCNTATATATATATATATATATAAGAATTTCAGGTATAAAATTCTGAATTAATGATTACAAGTTACTATTAATTTATTCATAAAATTTAATGTATTAATTATAATTAAATGTTAAAATATACTTTGATTTAATGAATATTAAAGTAATTTCTTTTTATATTTTATTTACTTTTTATTGAAACTTTTAATTATTTTAAAAAATAGAAAAAAATATATTAATGAAATTATCAGCATAAAATTTAAAAAAAAATAAAATAAAATTTATGCTGCTTCAGCAAAAATTATCACAAAAAAAAAATGCTTTTCTTATTAAATTATAATAATAATTTTAATGAATTAATTTTAAAATAAACAAAACATTTTATAATATTTTTAAAATAAAACTTTTAAAAAGAATTAATTCATAAATAAGCTGTAATAAAGGAAATATAATGAGTAAAATGTAGGAAAAAAAAAGACACTTTAGTAAAGTCATTAAAAGCTATTTTTTTAGATTTTATATTCAAATTGTATGCTTTTTTTAGAATTTATAATACTACTTTACAATTATATATTGTACAGATATTTTGACTTTTTTTTTATGCTGTTACACTCCATTACATTACAGGTTTTTACTAGAAAAAAATACATTCTAATCACTTTTTAATGACACTAAATCATTATTTATCATAAATCTGAAGTTCAGATGTGTATATAATGGGGTGTCTGATTTTATCAGAGAATTTGTAAACACATAAATAATACATTTACTACTGCTACCTTCAGTTGACGGTAATATGCTTATTTAATATGAAGATTTTTAGCATGATCTATCTTAAATTTGAACTAATTTTACACTATTTTCACTTATTTAATTAATTTTATATTAAAATAGAGAAAGAATACAGAAAAAAAGACATTAATATTTGAAAAATATATAATTTTTATGAATTTTTGCATACAAAAATATTGTTTATCTGTACATATTTAAATACATATAAAGTGTATTGCATTATTTTAAATCCATTGATCATTTCATGGCTTTAATGACCAATGAAGCCATCTTTTTTTAATATAACTTTATAAACTCTATCTCTCATTATTTTAATCAGTTTTTGCATTGTGTTCACATATTTTTCCAGCATAATGCACTGACTGCCTTCAATTCATCAATGGACTTATATTACTTGGCTTCTTCAAATACAACACAAGCTAATTCACTCCATAAGTTTTCTATGGATTCAAATCCATTGAAAGAAGGAGCTAATCCATAACTTGAACCCCCTACTGTCAAAAAACCATTGAAACGTAGCGTTAACTGTGTGTATAGGGCCGTTATCATGTTAAAATGTTCAAAATGAGCATCCATTCTTCTCTCCAAAAGGTAATAAATGCATGTCTACTTAAAATTGTTGTTGCTGGCATTCATAGGATCTTAAACAAAAGCTATAGTTGTTTTGCTATTCCATCCAAAACCATTACTGACTCTTCCCGCTTAGAGTAGACATTTTCCTCTTTCCTGATGCTATGCCAAATAATATTGTCTGCTGTCAGGACCCTCCAGATTGAATTTTATCACTTCAAGCTACTTTTTCTCATTCCTGGAGCAACTCATCTTTCCTTTGGCCCATTGTAGTCTTCTTGATGGAGTTTTAAGCATGGTGCTGATTTCCTCTTATAAATCGAAAATTTGCTATCTTTCACAATTCTGAACAATGTCAATTTGTACACTTTAATATCATCTCGGTGCGATAATCGCCGATTCTTTTATCCTTGTCAGTTTATAAGGATGTCCGGAGTGCTTTTTCCTCACATACTTGGTTCTTAATATAATATAATTGTCAATAACTATATCAGATCTTTGTGGCGCGTTATTCTATAGTTAAAAAGAGCAGTTGCCTGTGGTCTTCACCAAAATCAATCTTTTATAATAACATATTTTTCCCTAAAATTTCCCGGAAGAAAAATGTCCGAAGTCATCACTATACATGAAGCTCCATAATTCAAATTTTTCAGGACTTCATTAAACTATAACGTCTTGCTTGGTGTAGAGCTGTTGTTTGTCCTTTTTTCAAAATCATTAAATGCTATTTTTAATAATTATTTTGTTTAATTGTAAACGTTTTTAGAAGAATATAAAATATATTTTTGATAATATTTTCTAAAAACCTTTCAAAAATGAGGAAGGTGGATGCCACGAAGAGAAGGAATTTCAACGATGAATTCCATACCAATATACAGAATGGCCATAAATAATTTGACCAACTAACGACAGCATCGTTAGTGTGACATCAGGGGTTTATAGCATCTGTCGAGTGTAATTCAATAAAGCGCGCATTCTTCCGTTTTCTCTCTCATTCGCGAACATTTAGGGTCTTCTATCGCAGGTATTGGCTCTCCTGCTTTGTTCAAATACCGATATCTCTGTTGTTTTTCATTCTACACATACCGTTTCAACGCCTTATGCTATTATCCTTTACGTGAAATCGTGACACGTGTTCTACCTCCATTTTCGTGTATCGCGAGCGCATGTTACCCTGTATTTATCCTGCAAAAGTTTCGATGAGTTCCTTCTTTTCCTCTCTCTCTCTCTCTCTCTCTCTCTCTTATTTGGCAAGTTACTTTATGACCAACCTGTAGATTAAAATAATTTTTGATGCTGCTGTTATATATAAATCATCGTTATGAAAGTTGAGATTATTGTAATTAAAATAAAATTAAGTTTTCACACTTAAAAAATATATGATTTTTGCGATGATTTTGTGAAAAATTTTGTTTTAAAAATGTCTTAATCATGCAAAATGTAAAATATTTTTTTTTTTTTTTACAAAATTTATATACTTGAAGAATTTTAATTCCAAACTGCAACTGCTTTAATTAATTTTGGTTGTGAATAATTTAAAATTTGACATAATAGCGAGGTTGCGGCCGAAGTTTTTGTCTCTAAAACGTGAACGTCGAACGTCGAGCACCGTATACAAGATAGCGGCGCTCGACGTTCGACGTTCACGTTTTAGAGATGAAAACTTCGGCTGCAACCTCGCTAATTTAATCAATTATTTGAAAACATTGATCCAAAATGGCATCGTTTCCATTGATTATATTAAAATAAAAATGAATTATATTGGTAAAATTTTTGTATTTTATCAGTAATTTTTAAATTTATAAAGTTATATTTTGATTTTAAATTATTAATTTGTGACATAAACTATATTTTTTTTCACAGGAATTATTGTTTCTATTTATTAGATAAGGGAGGATATCATTTTTTTTTCTATAGAATTGTACGCGAATTTATTTTTAATCGCATTATATCGATACATTTATTGTTTGATAAACAGCATAACAATGCACTGGTCCAATTAAAACACATTTTTATGTACACAAATTTTATAATTAAGTAAGAATTTGTAAGACTGCATGTATTAATCATTTATAATTTTAATAAATTTAGCGAGATTGATTAGTCATGATCTTATTCATAAAACAAAATTTCTAGTGAAATTATTTTTTTAAAATTTAAACTATTAGGAAATTCCTTTTTTAAAAGTGATGAGTAACTTATGTGTTTTCCAGTGCTAAATTATTACGTAAGCTAAATGGTTACAAAAGGGCTCCATAGTAGGAGATTATAATAAAGGGTCTCACATTTGTAAAATTTAAAATAGAAGAAATATTTTCCATATTATAAATTTTAAAAGAGAAGCAGTTTTTAATTTTGTGTGTGTTTTAGATGAATTTGTAAACATGCAATTTCATAGTGCAAGTGTTTATTTTCAATGGAATATCTTACGTATCAAACTCTTTTCATACTTATGTATTTGTAGAGATGCTGAAAATTGTATTCTGGGCCGAATTTACGTATAATCTATAACAGGATCTCATGCTGGAAGATTGTAGTTTAGAATCTCACTGCTTTAAATTTGAAATGGAAGAATAAAGATTTCTTATATACATTAGAGTCTCTGTAATCCGTCACTCAGCAGTCCGACACATGAAATTTTCGTGTTATTAGTCGATGTATGCGACAAAGAACTGATGTACAATACGTGTGTACAGTACTGTCAGTTGCTTGTTGTTTGTTGCCCATATTGTCTACGAAATAGTAACAATCGTAATTAATACGATAAATTAACTAACCAAGTGATTATTTTACAATATAATACGTACAAAATCCAGTAATCCGACACCCCGCCGATCCGATATACGTCGGATTACAGTGACTCTACTGTATTATAATTGAGGTGTACAACGATTATTATTAAACTTTAACTATCAGGAATATATGAAAATTTTCAATCATGCTACATCTTATGCTCTATTTCATTAATTATGATGTTAAATACGATTTAATTTATCTCTTCTTTAAAATTAGGATGATGTACGTACAGTACAGACAACAACATTGATTATCGAGATGTTAATCTTATTAACTTATCAGTCATTCTGATAACTCCATAAACTGATTCTGTAATTAGGATACTGCAGCCTTTATCCTCTATTGATAATTATATAACATATTTTTCTGTGCTATAAACATAATTTTATACTTTATGTCTATATAAAAAATAAATACATTTATTAAATACGCGATTTTTTTTATTAATTTATAGTCTTTTCAAAAAATACTTTATTTTTTTATTGAGTTTTTTTTAGGCAATTTTGTAAGGTACAGTAAAAACCTGTCTAAAACGGACCCGCACGGCATGACAGGTTTCCGTTTTAAACAGGTTCCGCTTTAGACAGGTTTTACTGTACTTGAAAAAGTGCAAGTAAAACACGTAATTAAGCAACTTTGATAAATTATAATGAATAAAATATAAAATTTATTTTTATTTTTTTATTAATTTTATCGTTTTTTTTAAAGTGCGATCAAGTACACGACTATAACGTAAGTGAAAGATGCAATTTTGTAGTAAAAACTGTTGACTGTAGAGATGAAAGTTATGTTCCTTATATGTTGTTTATATACTGTGGACTTGGAAATAATGAAATAATAGCCGCAGTTAGTATATGTGTAAGTATATATATCATTAAAGTTAATTTTAGACGAATTTTCTTTACATTTTAACATATTTTCTACTTGTTTTTAAGGCATTTTGGCTGCTATTTTTATTTCTTGCTCTCGGTGTAACTGCCGATGATTTGTAAGTTTTTTAATACTATATTAGACCTATAATTTTTTTTTCTTTAATTTTATAGTTAAAATAGGTTTGAAGAAAATTGCTTTCGTTTCAGTTTATGTCCCTCTTTAGTCGTAATCACAAAAACTCTTCGTTTATCACAAAACATCGCTGTATCCTTTATTTAAAAATTCAATTTTTTTACAATTAAGATTGATTTGTTTAATTATATTCATTATAAATTATTAGAAAATAATGTTTAATGCGTATATTTTTTTGGTTAACTGTTGAAAATTCAAATAAATCAGCAACGAGTTGCTTAACTTTCCCGGCGACTTTGGTGGCGCCATCTGTTATGATATTTTATTTTAAAAACTTTTTATATTTTTAATTTTGATAATAGAGATGGGTTTTATAAAAAAAAAAAATTGTAAATGCTAATAATGAGTAAAACCAGACCCTACTCGAGGTATAACACACGATCTCTCTTTATCTCTCCACCCGTCGACCTTTAACCACCAAAATTTAGTAGTGTTAATCTCTCTAATACACAAACCTCCCTGCAAAATTTCAAAAAATTTTGACAAAAAGCACAGGAGTTATTAAGCTTTCAAAGAAGGTAAACAAAAGCGTGCCCTATAAACACATACAATAACATCCATACATACAGAAATTACCTCCGAATTTTTTCGCATTTCTCGACGTTTTAAGGTGTCCTGATCCAAAAATGTAAAATTCTTGGGGGGTCATTTTTTGACCGATCGCCATACTTTCCCTCTGTTATGTATAACAGAGCTGGGAAAGTAATATGTTACTTTAAATGCAACAAAACAGTTTAAGTATGGTAAAACCTTTTCAAAACGAAAACCTGTCTAAATTAGAAGAATTCATAAAAACACAGAGATTTTCTGTGTTTAAAAAAATCTGTTCAAACGGAGACCTGCCAAACAGGAAAACATATTCGATACCATGCAAGTCCGGTTGTTTACACAGGTTTTACTGTACTTAAAGAAAAATAAAGTAAATACCAGGAAAGTATACTTGTTTTGTAGATTTCTGTGTTTTTATAGCATACAAAATATTACAAAAACATAAAGTTCGAAATTTAATCAGTATACAAAAGAATTTCTAACAGCACTTAAGCTAATTTTGAGCTTTTAAAACTTCTACAGTAAAACCTGCATAAATCGAACTCACAAGGTTTCCGGTTTGGCAGGTTTCCGTTTTGAACAGGTTTTTTTTTTAACGCAGAAAATCGCTACGTTACGAAGAACTCTTCCCGTTTAGACAAGTTTCCGTTTTATAAAGGTTGCGTTTTGAACAGGTTTCACTGTATATGGAAGCGCAAGTGCACACATGTAAGCAATTATAAATAAACACTTTTTATGTTTGTAAGCGCTTCTTGTTCTTAGATATGTGTATGTGAACCGCCGGGGAGGATGTAGGTCTCCCGATCCGGCAACAGGTCGTTAAACCCTTCTCACTGGTCAGGATGGATTAAAATGTTACCGTTCCCGCAGTAACGGGATTAAATGTTTCGGGTCGAGGGGAGGAGGGAGGGGTGCGTCGGTAAGATGACCGGCGATATACGAGTAATGATGACACCACTTTAACAGGATAACAACGATTTATTAGATACATAGAGATTACAATAACCAATTTCAAAAGGGAAAATCTGAATCCCTGAACCGCGAAGGACCGAGAGAGAGTTCACAAAAATAAGGTCCATACCTCTTTATGTCTNAAACACAGAGATTTTCTGTGTTTAAAAAAATCTGTTCAAACGGAGACCTGCCAAACAGGAAAACATATTCGATACCATGCAAGTCCGGTTGTTTACACAGGTTTTACTGTACTTAAAGAAAAATAAAGTAAATACCAGGAAAGTATACTTGTTTTGTAGATTTCTGTGTTTTTATAGCATACAAAATATTACAAAAACATAAAGTTCGAAATTTAATCAGTATACAAAAGAATTTCTAACAGCACTTAAGCTAATTTTGAGCTTTTAAAACTTCTACAGTAAAACCTGCATAAATCGAACTCACAAGGTTTCCGGTTTGGCAGGTTTCCGTTTTGAACAGGTTTTTTTTTTAACGCAGAAAATCGCTACGTTACGAAGAACTCTTCCCGTTTAGACAAGTTTCCGTTTTATAAAGGTTGCGTTTTGAACAGGTTTCACTGTATATGGAAGCGCAAGTGCACACATGTAAGCAATTATATAAATAAACACTTTTTATGTTTGTAAGCGCTTCTTGTTCTTAGATATGTGTACTTGCGCTTTATTGTATGTGCTCGTGTTTATGGGTATGTTTGAATAGGCACAGTGGCGAGTTATAGTTTTATGGAGGCCCAGGCAAATTTGAATTAGGGGTCTCTTGTATTGTACAATGTTGACCTTTTCTTCTAAAGAATTTTTGGGGATGAATTCCCGTTTTATAATGCAATCTCTTAAAGTTTTTCCGTATGCCAGTAAACCCTGCTTCTCTGCATCACACCCCATAGGAACCCCATATATGGCCCAAATTTGTAAAAGATCGGTTTGGGGCCCCTTATTAATGATGGCCCTNACATTAATTAATTGTTTATTAATTAGCAAAATGTCTAATGTGTTTATTGGCAAATCGATTAGGAAATTGTTATAAAATAATAATAATAAAAATACAAAAGAAAACAATGTAATATTATTGTATTATTATGTATAATTGTTGACACGAAAAATATACAAAAATACAATAAGATTATATTTTTATTATTTTCTTTACCGTTATAAATACTACAAGTCATGTGATTTATGTGAACAATCTCCTTCATTTCACTCCTGTTTTTAATAAATCAGGTTGTACTTTAAACTTGCCAGATTTATATAGGACAGAAATTGTTATTTAGACCATTAACTAGGCTGAGAGATAGTTAACACCTGATCGTCCTTACATAGTATGTAAAGTATGTGATTATCTTGTTATATTATCATATATTTGACCTCTTATTATGTCTATAATAAGGTTAGTTCGTTTATGACGTTGGATGTTTAGTCACATCGTTGTTTCACAAAGAGAGAAATGACTTAAGTTTTTTAAAAACGTAGTTTTGTATATTTTTATAATAAGTCAATTTTTAATTTTATATTATGATGCTATTAGATGCTATTACAATAGTGATAATAAAAACAACGAGTTTCTTTGTTAAAGATGATAAGCTACTTTAATAATTTATCATAAATGAAATTTGAAATAATATTTTACAATTTAAAATATATTTATCTTAGAAAATTAAAAAAAAATCTGAAATTATTTCGCAATTTTGTAAACTATGCAAGCTAACTTTGTCTTGACCATTAGAGGGATAAATAATAATACAGAGGCATTTATTTCCCCTTTGCAATGAAATCTGCTTAAGTCAGTCAGCGCCATATTGAAAATCCTAAAGGTATCTTCATACCTATTTTTATTATCTTATTTCAGAATATTTAAAATTTCTTTCTTTATAAAATTTATAAGTTGTTATTGGTACAATCGTAAACTATGCAATGTACCACCATACTCGTAGAATGAGTAAACACTCATTCTACGAGTATGGTGGTACATTGCATAGTTTACGATTGTACCAATAACAACTTATAAGATTGTAATAAGTAACTTGAGATCATTCTACTTTAGGATTTCCAATATAGATTTCCTCTATTACTATTTTGTGCTCGCTGAATTGCCAGTTAATGATGATGATGAACATTTGGATGATCTACCAAAGGAGGTTCCGAGAATACTTTCTATGGTCCCTATTTAGGTATTATGCAGGTGAAGAAAACCCGAAAAACTCCACCTCAACACAAACAAAAGGACTGGTGTACTAGTAATCATTGGTTTTATTCAATAGGCCACTCCTGAACTACTTATACAAGATGATAGCAATACATGGAGTGAATGATTTATTGACTTCATAAAATATTGCATAATTACATCAGAATTAACCATAAGTAATTTATGTAACAATGAAATGTCTGTCATTCCTTATTAGGCGTAATCATTTTTAATATTAACGATATGTGTTTTGCAATTCTTTCCTTTCTATTGAAAAAAAGTTTCTCATTAATAATGTTGTGATATAGCATTATAAAGCTATTCATGTTGTTTTTATTGCAATTTTCTTTTATAATATTTTAAAGAAAATTTTATAGCATTCAAAAACTTATGTATATAAAACTATTTGTGAAGAAATGAGACACAAAATATATATCTTAAATATTACAAAAATTTGATTTTTAAATTAATTTATGTAGTTTTAAGTATAGATTTTAACCGGCTGAAGGAGTAAAGATTTCAGCTTGCCATTCTAGGAACTGGTTTCGAGTTAGATGAGGTTCCTCCCTCACTATCAGGTCACTTTTTATGGATCTCAAACCGAAGATGAACTTGAAAAGGGTGTTTTAGTGCTTTCATGTGAAAGTGTAAAAATACTGTATATTTAAATACATATGTACAACATTAAATATAAAAAACTCCAGCAACGAGTTGCATAACTTTTCAGGAGAAAAATACTTATGTTTAAGAAACACTAAGATACATTAGTACGAGGTTAAAATTGTGTTCGGTATCATCTGTTAACCCCTTAAGGAATGTTGAATAAATAATTATAAATAATAATTAAGAAATGTTGTTAAAAAATAACTTTTATATTATTATTTATTATAAAAAGACAAAAAGACTTGATTTTGAAGGTAGAGATGAATTTTACGAAAAGTTATAAATACCAATAACAAGTAAAAATTTCATTAAGTCCAGATATAAAACATGACTTCCTCGACCTTTTACTACCGAAATATAATAGCATCAAAGGCTCTTGTATACAAGTTTATCGTGCCAAATTTCGTTTCTTAATCTTTATCCTATCCTGAGATATTAAACAAAATAGATGCCAACACACACAATACTGTATACATATAAATTGCGTATTAATCTAATTTACATTAACTGAATGAACTACAACTGTTTCCTTTCATTTTTATTCGTTTAGTAAACAAAGATTTGAATTAAAATTTGGAATTTTTTTATACATTTCGAATTATGATCAAGTAGAAGTTCCCATGAAACAACTTTTCATATGTTACTTACTATTTTCAGCCATTCTTTTCAGCTACAAGATATCTTTAAAATCTTACTTGACATAATTACTTCACCTTCACCTTTTATCTTCTCTCCATATACTTATCTTCTTTCCAGAATTGTGATACTTGATTATATGTCCAAACCATTTGAATTTCTTTTTCTAATCTTTCTTTATCGATCATTTTTAGGACCTAGTTATTGCTTTTCTTCTCTTTCTAGATTCGAAATAGAGGATTTAATTTTCCAAGACTTCTAGTTCTAAAGAAGCAGTTCGATCAAACATCTTATGTTTTTGCATTACATAATATATACACATTGAAGCCACAGTGTATCTTCCTTAAGTAAATAGATACACATCCATTGCATATTTTCAAGTACTCATTTTACTGCATGGCATATTTGCAGCACAAGTTAAATCAATATTGCTTACTCAAATATTGAATGTAGATACATTTTATATACTTATCTTTTTTTTTGATTAAACTTAATAGTTTTAATTGTTTTAATTGTTAAGTGTAAATTATCGTACTTAATGAAGTACAGGGAGTAACATTTCTAGCTTTCGGTAATGGAGCACCAGATATTTTTTCTTCGTTAGCAGGAATAGAACAAGCACGCTCACAACTAGTAATTGGAGAATTGTTCGGTAATTATTTACAATATTTTGTTTTACCTGTATCTTTATTTAGCTTTTTATATACCTATATAATTGTATGTATGTTCGAATTTTTATATAAAGATGTATTTCAGGTGCTGGAATATTTGTAACTACAACAGTAGTCGGTTGCATATGTCTAACAAAAGAATTTAAAATTATGGAGAGGCCATTTTTACGCGATATAATATTTTATTCTTGCGCATCATTTTGGGCTTTTTATCTATTTTATACTAAAGAAATTGCCCTCCGACATGCAATAGGTAAACAAAGATTTTAACCAGCTTTATTCAAATATTAAAATTCTGTTGAAAAAATAAATATTTAAAGAACTATAAAATTTTCTATTTTAAATATTTGTTTAACAGGTTTTATCGCTCTTTATATGATTTATATTATTGTGGCGATAGTAAGCAGAATCGTGTTTCAAAAATGTCACGAAAAGTTATCTGCACAACCTACACCGAGGTTATCAATTAAAGATGTTGATAAAGAAACTGACTCTCAACCTCAAGAGACATTGAATGTAACGATAGAAAAAGAACAAACAAATTCTATATGTAAATATATGTTTAGAATTATTGTATTAGATATGCTACAAATNTTCTATAAATCATAATAGTATTTAACATAACATTTGATTAGTTTATTTTATAATTGAATTTTTATGAAAGATTTTTATTAACATCTAGAATTTTTTGACTGTTATAATGAAGAGATGTATAAAATAATATAGTGGAATTTTTATTATTTAACATTATATATCATACTTTATTGAAAATTTTAAGTAAAATATGCTTTTGTTGTTAAGAAACCATTGTTCTCAATAGTGGAATCATGAAACTTTAATTTTTAAAAGCCATATTAAGTTATATATGTCATATTATTTCTTTTTATATAATGCAAATTTATGAAAAAATTAGATTACTTGCATTACCAAATACAAAATAAAATAATTAATTAATAATAAAAATAAAATCGTAATTATTTTTCAATTCTTCTGTCTTTGTTTAGCCGTCCCGACAAGTTTCACGGAACAGGTAACGAATTTAGATAAGTACGATGACCCAGAAAATGAAGGAGTAGTTTTAAGAAGTGAGTATATTTTATGCTTATAAAAATGCAAGACACATTTAGATTGGTGTAACAAAAGTTTTTCGTAACAAGAGAAATTACAGTCAGCTGTATAGCTTTAATGTGATGATGACTCGTGTTGCTCAATCACTCACTTACATATAATAAGTAATAAATATTGAAGAATTGTTTTCTATATAAGGAGCACAAGGTTCCACGTATTAGAACTTAAATTGCAAATTCAATGTAGAATGAATAAATTGTAAATAAAATAAATATACGTGTAACTTGTAAATTAAGGTGTGTTCAAAGTGAAGAGTGACAATCAAATCTCGTCTTAGAACTTTAGAACACCTGCATGTGCACTCTTGTTTCTACACGTATACACGTGAAAAGGTTGTAGTGTTGTGCAATATGCAGGAGGTGAAATCACAAGCTTCATCTCTATGCAAATATACAGAGCTGAAAAGGTGAGTCTAGCAAAGCGCATAATTTCATATTACAAATCTTATGAACGAAAAGCAACGGTTCTTTCACTTTTTGGGAGAAGTAGTTAAAAGGACAAGCATTTATCCCATCATTGAACGTTGTAACAAAAATGGAATTGAGGTTTACAAGCTCAAACTAGGTATTCAGAGACTAATGAGACTGATACTAATGAAAACAAAGCTTTGTTTTATTAGTATCAGTCAATTTTCGTAAGAGCTGAGCCCAGAAATTGAAAATCCCGAGATCTACGATATCTTTATTAAAACAAAGAAGCTGGTGATCAAGGCAAATGTAAAACAACTTGTATCCAAGAGTACTCTAGCAGTCAGGAATTCTGAGCGAAGTTACGAAAAATCTTTGAAGAAAATCCTCATTATTGATGATGAAACGTATGTTCCCTTCAATCCTTCAGATGTACCAAGCAAGAAGTATTATCATGCAGAAGACCCAAAATAAATCACCTACGATGAAAAAGTGAAATCTCAAGCTAAATTCTACAAACGATATCTTATCTGGGAAGAGATGGACCAATTTCGTAATGTATATTTCTGAACCACACATTTCTGAAGGCACTATTACGAATGAAATTTCTTAAAAGAATGCATTTAACGCAGGCTCATATCTTTTATAGTTCAACATTACGAGAGGGATGATGTTTTCTTCTGGCCAGACATGGCGACAGCCCATTATGCAAGAAAAGTCACTTATACCTTAAAAGAAAAAAACGTGATTTTGTACAGAAGATGAAAAACGCTCTAAATGTCTCGCAAACAGGAGGTGTCAAGATTTTGGGCACTCTGCAAAAAATAACACGGAAAACGAAAGTTGCAACCAAAAATTTGAAATGATTTCAACAAATTTGGCAAAATATTACTAATAAAATGTCAAAGGAATCTGTAAAAGCTGTAATGGACAAAGCTGCAAGAAAACTTCGAGAAATAGCATATAAGGGTATTAAATGCAACTAATTGAATTTCTAAAGAAAGTAGATAACTTGTATGATCCATGAAAGTGATAATTTTATCATGATAACATTTCAATTTAAATCTACAGCAATTCAATTTTTCTCTCTTTTTACTTTGAATCCGCCTTAATTTATTATTTTAATAACGAATTGTAACAAATGATGAGAGTCACAAATATCTTTCATCTACGTATCAAATAACTAACGTGTTATTCAAAAAGTTATGTTAGGTATATCTTATACCATCAAAAATTATTTTTAAATACCCGAAAATAAATATTTCTCTAATAATAACATGGAAATCTATGATGAATAAATCCATCATTAAGAGTAGCCAGACGAGGATTTAGATTGTAACCCTAATAGATTATGGGTTTTAATTATTCTGACACTATAACCGAGATTCTAAACAAATTGTTCGTTTTTAATTTCAGGATTCAGTTATAGAAATAGTTTAGCCATTCCACGTAAAAGGACCATGTCGTTAAGAAGAGATAGCGTTATGAGTATTCGCAGTACTTCAGACCACAGCAGAAGCCGAAGTTTTGGGAAATCAGATCAAAGTGTATCTGGTAAGATAAGAAAAACAAAAGTGTGAAGTACAACTTCAGGTCACTTACAGTTCAAATAACTATTCTAGAATTTGTGCCTCCTACTTTGGACTCTCAGATTTCTAAAACTAGTCTATCAAGTCTAATATCAAAATCGAGTTCTGATGAAGTTGGAGAGTGCAAATTATTCTGCTACCAGATAAGTCCAATAGATATCTTGGCATGGTCAGAGAAACCTTGGTATAGTAAAATTTTGGAAGTTTGTAAGGTATGAAATTACTGGTTTTAATCATTTCCATAAGTCTTTGAGTTTATCGTATAAATTTATACTTTACAGTCACCTATTTATTTTATCTTGACTATTTCAACGCCTTTAGTGGATGATGAAGATCCTTCAAATAACTGGAATAAGCCACTAGCAATTATGCATTGTATAGTTGGACCAGTTTTTGTGGCATTCGCTTCAAAACGTAAGAAATATTTAATTTTATTTTTTAAAAAAATAATCAATTTAATTATTTCGCTTATTTCTACAATTGTAAATTATATAATTGCAAGGAAATGAGTAACACTAAAGCCGATGTACTGAATCTTAAATACATATATCACTCCGCTGCTATAGCTAAGCGAGGAAATTTAAGGAAATAGAACAGAATAAAACCTTCGAAAATTCAATTTTTTCAAAGTTTTTCTTTTTCCTCTCTCAAATTTCTTGCATAAATATCAGAAATTTCAAATACAATTTTTAATAGTAACAAGGATCTATTTTTCTTCGCTTATGTAGACTAATGAGCATCGGTTTTATTCTTATTCTGAAAAAGACTATATACCGAGTTTCTCACCGATAGATGGCGCAGCAGTAACAGTTGATTGCAATAAAAATCGAGTGCGCCATCTATCGATAAGGCCCCACATAGAAATGTAAAACACATTTAAAAAATAAATATTTTTATATATT